CATAGCCGTGATTTCCCAAAAGGTATTCTCATTCAGGGTGGACTGCAGTTTCGACCTCGCCTAGGTCTTATTAACACCCCCAACAGGGCTATATTACACACCGCATTGTCATGGTTCGACTTCCTCTGGGAGTGTTGATAAGACCTAGGCGAGTTCGAAGCTACAGAAAACAAGGCTTTGCGAAATTCAACGGAAATGTTAGCTATACTTATGTCATTGTGGGAAAATTCAACTACCAGTCCTTCATTACCATAAATGAAGAAAAAATACTCGAATAATAGAATATTTTAAAACGCATATATGAAGACCAAGATGGTGTGGCCTTCTGCTAGGTCGCAGTCTCCTTCAGGTTTATAGTGTTGACTCGAACTTGTTTTCGCAACTTGGTCAGAGCGTCAAGGAGACTTTGTGGGGCGTACCTAGTCATGCTTCCTCTGTCATAGTATTCATTATTTGCAGCATCAGGCCATTGACTTGGTAGATTTCAAAACATTTCACCGGGTTTGTCACTAAGAGGCGCCATCGTTGGCAAGGAGTTAAAACCTAACAGTGGCAAGTGAAGGCAATTCCATTGACCAATTTTCTATTCAATCGTTGTGGTATCAGTCCTTTCCTGTTTTTCTACCTTCAAGTACTGCATCTCTTCTCAACACTTCATTTGGCCCATTTACCTATTCACACAAGTCAGGGGCTCTCATTTTCTCCAATTTGGTCTAAGACTGCGTCGCTTCAAGTGGGTTTAGTCAAACGTAATTATCTCGACCACTGGTAACAAGTGCAGTTTGCAGGGCTCCTGATCATCATTCTATTCCTCTTTCCCCTACCCCGCTTGTCAATTGGTCGCTGCTAAACATCAAAATCACTATCTGACTGTCTGAAATCTGGCTGTCTAAGAGCCTTCCATTTCTATCCCCGATTACATTATATTCGAGGAATCAGGACAAATGATGCCCATGACAGTTCCTTTGAATCTCCCTCTCCCTAAATTTACAATCCAAGGCTCGAATATCCTCTTCCTTATCCTCACTCACATGGTTTCTGGCTTAAGTCATAACAGTTGGTGTATAAATTCACCACTTCCCTTTTTCCATTAAATCG